CAGGGAGCCCGATGCGGGACTCGATCCCGGGACTCCAGGATCATGACCTGAGCCGAAGGCAGTCACTTAACCAACTGAGCCACCCAGGCGCCCTACACCCTGTCTCTTTCATTTTCTAAGTTCATTCGCTCTTTTAATATTTGCTCAGCAGATAAGGACAGGAACAAGAGAAGTCTAGTATAGAATCACTGTGCTTTTTTTTCCCTTGAAACCAGTAGCTTTTAGTGTGTATATTATACACACGCATATATGTATATATTGTATGTATTTAATATTTAGCACGGTAACCCATGGGTTTTTTAGACGTATTTTACTGTGAAGTATAATGTTATTTTAAAAAGTGGTAACATGACGTCTACAGTTTACAAGTGATTGTAAGAATAAGCATCACTTGTAACTGCCATCCATGGGTAAAAAATAAATAAATAAATAAAATGTGGAAGAATTTGACCAACATGTCAAAAGCCTTGTGGGTCCCTTGGCAGTCACAACCTTCTCCCCACACTTGTCCTCTCTTCTCTGAGAAAGCTCTAGCTTTCCTTTTTCAGTAATCATTTCCTTGCTTTTCTTTATAGTTTTACCACTTAAGTGTGCAGCTATATGCACCAGATACATCTAAATAGTTGTGTTGTATGTTTAGCAACTTTTTAAAAATACAATCATACTTGATATATTCTTTAGTCTTGCTTCTTCCATTTGTTATCCATGTGGTTGAATGTAGGTGCAGTTCGGTCATTTTCATTGTTTTGTAGTAGTCTGTTGTGTAAATGTACCACAGTTTACTTATCCATTCTGTTATGTTGGATGTCTGGGTTGTCTGAACTTTGTACCTTCTGCAGATAGTGTTACTATGACTATTCTTAGGCCCTCTCTTGGTGCACATAGGACATGTATTTCTGTTGGCTGTAGTCCTAGTTAATAAATATTAATGATGTAACAGTGGACAATTAAACTGTCTTTTTCTAGGTGCAAATTTAATGAGCCAGTAATTTAATGAAGGAAAAAGAAAACATTCTTTTGGTTATTTTAGGGTGATAGGTGCTGTCTAGACACAGAGATCACGACTTCCATCTAGGTAAATAAAAAATAGAGTATCCAGGATTTTACCTTTGTTTAAGATTCATATCTGCAAGTACGTTTCATCAAGAAAATAAAACATTTTCATTTTTAAACAACCTCTAGTATTATTTCTAGAACTCTAAAATTAACAGGGTGAAGCAGAGCAGAGAATGTATCTTAAATTTCTTCTGTGTTCTTCACAGAGACCATGGCACTGCTAAAAAGATGTTAAGTCCCCACTAAATATATATTTCCTCAGTAAGTATTCTTTGGAGTAAAATTTTTTTTATAAGTAGGTATAATTTGCAAGGGACAGTCCCCTAAAAAGGAGGCAGGAGTAGGTTGGTTTAACTTAAAACTGTGTCTGTTTTGAAAGCCTCTTTCCTGAAACAGAAAATAATAGTTTGGATGAGTCAGTGCAATAATCTGTTTTCTCCATAATTTTTCCTACTGCATTCTTACTAGCCCTAAGTACAACTAATATTAGTGTATTTCTGAGGTTTGTTTGTTTTCTTAATTATAATACGGGTCCTTTGCCTTTTGAAATGAAAGACAAAATACACAATCCAGTACAATGCAAGTGTGTCACTTGTGATGGTCCTGTGCTTCAGAGCATATGTCTTTTAGGGCTTGTCCTGATTTCACCAGTAAGGTCAGATCATGGTAAATTGATTTCAGTATCTTCCTGTTTTTATGGGTTTCATACTACAGCCTCTGCGGAAGAGTCAAAATAATGTTTGTCACACTATTCTTGGTTAGCTGAAATCTTGTTCCTGTTTATAGGAAATGACCATTGGTCTAATGCAGTTAGCACAAACACTTTATAACTCATTCAAGAACTATTCCAAGTGGTGAGGAAAAGTCACTTTAATTTAAAAATTACTTATCCAGGATCAGGCTGGGAGAAAATGCTGCTTCTTGTGAATTCAGCATCCTACCCACACCACAATTCATTTTGCTCCTTTGCTACAACAAATGTGTTTGAATTCTTTTTTGCAATGAAAAGATTCTTTTGTCTTCCTTAGGGATTGTAACTTTCAAAAGTCGCTCTTAAATATATCACTACCTTATTTAAACTATTTGCTTCCAAGATGTGCAGTACTTTGCACAAAGAGTAAGTCACTAATCCCCTGGGCACACAAAAGGAAAATGCTCTGCTGGGTTTCCCGTTTTATTTTGGTTTTCTGTGGTAGGTTTATGACTTGATGCCCAGCTTTTTTATAGATTCACCTCTCCCAGGACACAATTCCCTTTAATGTGTTTTCCATGCTTATGGAAAGAAACAGTGTGTTAGTATCTTAGTCTCTTCAGATTAGTATAACGAAATATCATAAACTGGGTGACTTATAAACAACAGAGATTTATTCCTCATAGTTCTGGATCAAGGCTCTGGCAGCTTCACTGTCTAGTGAGGGCTGCTTCCTAGTTCATAAACAATTTTCTTTTTGCTATCATCTCACTTGGCAGAAAGGTGGATCTCTCATAAAGGCACTAATCCCATTCATGCAGTTCTGCTCTCATGACCTACTCACCTCCCAAAGGCCTCACTTCCCAATACCATCTTCTTAGGGGTTAAGATTTCAAAATACGAAATTGGAGGGGACACAACCATTCTCACTGTAGCAGCTAGAAACACCAGTAGAAATTTCACTTTTATCACTTGGCTTTCTCTGGGTATGGAGACAAGCCTCCTTAAAGTGCTCCTATGAGTCAAGTGAAAGTGGCTTTAATCGATATTTTTGTGATTTCTAAATTTTTTTTGACAATTTAATTTATTGTTTTTATTCATCTGGGATAAATATTTTCAATTCTTTTATGAAATTAAAAGATATTAGGGCGCCTGGGTGGCTCAGTCGGTTAAGTGTCTGTCTTCGACTCAGGTCATGATCCCAGGGTTCTGGGATCAAGTCCTGCATCAGGCTCCCTACTCAGAGGGGAGTCTGCTTCTCCCTCTCCTCTGCCCCTCCCCCCTGCTCATACTCTCTCTCCCCCATGCTCTCTCTCCCTCAAATTAATAAATAAAATCTTTGAAAAATGAAATTAAAAGATATTGAAATCAAAGAATTAGGAAAGTTGCTAAGAAAAGTTGCCAGTTTCTGTGTTGGTGGTATAGAGTTATGGTGGTATAGTGTGTGTAGGCAGGTCTGTGAGTAGAGAAATGCCATAATAAAGGTGGTATTTAAAGGAGACCATCCAGTGACAGGCCAAAGTCAGGAACATCTGCCCTTCCATGATGTTCCAGACTGCTATAACCTTGCTGATTTTTCAGCCTCTGTGAATAATTATACAGTATATAAGCAAGAACAGATGGGTGGGTCAAAATAAAATGCTCTTAGCAGTAAATATAGAATAATTTGCCCTGATAGGAAAGCAATGATCAAAATTCACATGAAAAAAAAACTCTGATGTGGTTTCTTCCTTGGAATTAGAACTTTTAGTATATTAATGTACATCTTGAAGGTACAGGAAGAGCCTTATATTTCAAAGCATGCTAATGTTTTACGGAATAGAGTTTGGGAAACACTGAGTTAAACTACAGCATAATGTATTTAGGTTGGAGATAATTGGAAGTTAGAATATGCACTAGCAGTGTGTAATGAGAATGGGTATGAGTCCACTTTTGCATATCCTCAAAAACAGAACACAGTTGTCTATATTTTAATCCTTGTAAAACTGTGATTTTCAACAGAGGCTTCCCTTGACAAGGTAGTAGCAGAATCTCAGTTGGATTTTTTCAAATGTTTTTTCTGCATCTGTTGAGATGATCATGTTTTTCTTTTTTGAGTTTGTTCACATGATGAATTCCAGTGATTGGTTTTATAATGTTATGCCAACCCTACATTCCTGGGATAAATCCCACTTAGTTATAATGTACTAAACTTTTAATATTTTGTTAGATTTGATTTGCTAAAATTTTGTTTAGAATTTTTATATCTGTGTTCATGAGGGATATCAGTTTTTAAGTTTATCTCTTTTTTCACACGCGTGGGAGGGCCAGAGGGAGAGAGAATCTGAAGCAGACTCCTGGCTAAGCGCAGAGCCCAACCTGGGGCCCAATCTCACATGACTCCAAGATCACAACCTGAGCTGAAACCAAGAGTTGGATGCCTAACTAACTGCGCCACCCAGGTCCCCCAGTTTCTAAGTGTCTCTTACTGTCTTAATATCTTTGTTTGATTTCTGGTGTCATTGTAATGCTGGCCTAATAGAATGAGTTTGGAAGTATTTCTTCCTCTATTTTTTAGAGTAATTTGAGTAGAATTATTATTATTTCTTCATTAAGTGTTATGAGAATTTACCCTGAAGTGTTCTGGGTTTGGGATTGTCTTTGTTGGAAGGTTGTAAACTACTGTTTCCTGAACAGATTACAGTTTATATCATTACCCTCAATTCCAGTAATTGATTATTCCAGTAATTGATTATTATAATTACAATACCACAAAGTCAATTTTAGTTTTCATCTTTTCCATATTTTGTAACCCCCTTCTCCGACAATGAACAATCTATCTCCTATTATTTTTAATATATTTATTTATTTTATTAACTCCCCTCTATGTAGTAAGCCATCCGCTTTGCCAGTGTTGCCCCCTTTCCCATGCAAATGCCCTCTTCATCCCGCTTGGGTTCTGTCACCCTACCCAGGGTCGCATCTGCTCCCTCCTCCCATAGGCCCCATCCCCTGTGGATGCCCTCCTCAGCCCACCCAGGCTTTGACAGCTGTGCCAGGCTACCCCGTTGCATGGACATTTCCTACTTTCTCTTCTCCTTCACTTGTGAAATTGTTCCTGCCAACTGAGTCCGTTTTATTCCATTTAAACTCCATGTTGTCTAGTACATAATTGGCAATTAATAAATACTTAATAAGTCTAAAAAGAACTACATTTTTAATGGACACATGGTATATCAACACTCTGAAAAACGTGTTAGTAATAACAGAATTGCCATAGTTTGCATTCTGGCTCTGCTGTTGACTAACTGTGCAACTGTAGACAAATTAAGTAAACTTCTCTGAACTTCTGTTTCCTAATTTGTTAGATGAGGACAGAAATAATTACAATGATGATGTTAATAACACATGATGCCTACTGTGTGCACTAGGTGCTGTGCTCAGGGCTTGCCATCTAATCTTCAAAATGGTTTTTTGGAGGAAATACTATTATTATATTCATTTTACCAAAGAGAAAGCTGTCATTTGAGGGAGGTGCCATTATCTTCCTCATTTTACACATGAGGAAATGAAGCACACACACAAAAGATTCACACAAAGTCATGTAGCTAATAACCGGTAGAGTTGGAATTTAGCTGCTATGCCAACACATACGGAAATTCCTAGTAGTAGTGAACCACTGTAAATAATAATCCATTTTAATGTGTAAAGTGATTAACTATAATAGTCTGAATCACTATTGCCAGGTCTGTGGCATAGAAAGAGTCATGATACTGCCCAGTGAGAGTGAGGAGGATGATGTGTTTTTAGCTTAAATACAAATTAGAAGTAATTTTTCTTACTAGACAGAGTTTAAAATCCTCTCTATTTATTCTGGATTGGTAAAGGAGACATTTTTATTTAGAAAGAAGACACAGACTCAGAAATAGGTTATGTGCTTAAATCTAAAAGGAAATTTCAGATGAGAAAAGATGTTTCCAGTCAATAGAAGATGAGAAAAAGAATTAATGGTACCCTAGAGATAAAAGAATAAACAAAAGACATCAGAGCTGGAGAAAGTAGCCCAGTGGTTGCAAGAACAATAAAGACTTGACAAGCATCTATCATTCCAGTTCAGCATTTAATAACAGCCCTAAGCTCACAGATCCATTAATGTTGTGATGAATCTGTGAACTTGGCACATGATAGGTGCTCAGTATATGCTTGTTGGATTGATCTGACAATCCTTTAAAAAGCTTGAGTTGAATTTCCAGTTAAAGGCACAAACCTAAAATAACGGAGAAAACAGGAAGGAAGACAACAGTCTCAAAATTCTGTAGGCTGGAAAGCATATGGTTATTGACTTAGTGGACTAGAGAAAGCAATCCTAAACTTGCAATAAGCAAAGCTGAACAGAAACCTAATTTACATTGTAAAATCCCCTAAGACACAGGTATCTCTGGAAAGCAAGGGTGAATATGGAGTTAAGGCTTCTCTGACAGTGTGTTAATGAAGCAATTATTCTTTTATTCCTTTCCCACTTTGCACAGCAACTTCCCCTGACCTTCTCAGCTCCCAGACTGCTGGCTGTCAACCAACATGCAGCTGGCAGAAAAATAGAAATCTTCTCTGGGGGAGAGAAAAGAACTAAGATCCTGACATCAGGAAGTCCCCAAGGAATAGAACTAAGATCTTGACATTAAGAATCTCCCAAGGAATAGGCCCAGCTCGATTGCCCTGTAATGAAGACTACAGTAAACAAGCTACACATACATGCACAGAGTTACTAATCTGCTTTCTGGTGGACAGCTTTTGGTTTGAGCAAACAGCCAGGGAATACCCAAAGAACAAGGAAAACCTTTGCTGTGAGTGTGTGAAATGTTGAGAAAATAAGAGAAGTTGTTACATTCATAAAAGAAGAACAAGTTGTTATGTTTAAAAAAAAAATCAGAGTACAAAGAAACAAGCATTTGGAAATGAAGATAGCAGATATGAAGGAAGTTTAGATGAACTAAAGGATCAATACAGAAGATAGAATTTAAGATTTATGTCAGAAAGTACAATAAAAAGACAAAGATACAGAAAGTAGGAGAGAAAAAATAAGAAAATAAGACAACCAATCCAAAAGTTTCAATACCTAAAAAATAGGGTTTCCAGAAAGAGGACACAGAGAAAATGGAGGGCAGGAAATTATAGAAAGTAATTCGAGAAAATTTCTTAAAACTGGGCATGCTTGCCCAGCACAGCGGTCTAAAATAGACCCACATTGTATCCTATCATGGCATTTCAAATCACTGGGGAAAAAGAGAAAATCCTACAATCTCCAGAGGGGTGGGGAAGGGAGGTTTCATACCAGAATCAAGAATCAGAATGGCACCAGCTCCTCCAAATATAACAGTAGAAGCTGTAAGACAATGGAACAGAGCCTTCAAACTTCTGGAGGGAAATCATTTCCAATTTCAGTTCCATTCCCATCCAAAAGTGTGAGGGCAGAATGAAGATCTCTAAAAATCTATCTCCCTTGCACCCCTTCTCAGGAAGCTACAGGGGGATATGTTCCACCAAAACAAGGAAGTGAAGTGAGAAAGAGTAAGACCTAGGATCCAAGAAACAGAGAAAAGGAGAGTCTGTAGGATGGATTGATTGGAGACCTCAAGGTGACAGCTGTGCCTAGAAAGCAACATGTCCAGGATGGAACATGTCACAAGTTTCCAGGAAGGAATTCTTCAGGAAGTTGAAATTGTTGGATTACCTAATTTGAAAATCTCAAGAGAAAAGCTGGACACTTTGGGAAGGATTTGGATTAAATTAGCAACAAGCCCATCAAGAAGTAAGCAAATCTATAAAAAGACCATTGTTAAATTAAGAGAGAACTAAAAAGTTGTTCAGGGCTTATTAAAATTAAGAATTTGTACTGATCAAAAGCAAGTGAAAAAAATAGAATCTTAAGATATTCATAATATACATAAGTGACAAATAATACCAAGAATATATAATGAATTCCTAAAAATTAATAAAAAGACCACAAACAACCCAATAAATGTAGCCAGGAAATCTGAAGAAGTATTTAACAGAAGAGGAAATTACATATGCCCAATAAATGCAAAGAGATGGTCAGCATTCGTGGTGAGCAAGAAAATGCAAATAAAGATCACAATGATACAGCCATTTCGTTGGCAAAAATTCCAAAGACTGATAATACCAAATGTTGGATAAGATGTAGACTCATAAAATCTTGTATGTGTTGCTGGTGAGATTAAAAAAATAAAAATGCTTTGGCATTACATTCCAAAGTTGGGGGAGAAAAAAACACACTTGTGACCCAGCAATCTTCTTTGTTTGGTGGAAAAAGAAAGTTAAAATATATATAGTAAGAGAAATGCACAAGAAGTTTCATCACACCACTGTTCAGCAAAAGCCTGGAAACGACCCAAAAACCTGCCTGTCGGTGAGAGAGTGGATGACAGTTTACAGCAATCAAAACAAATAAATGTATGAATGAAACTTTATCCTAAGATTTCATAATAAGTGAAAAAAGTAATGGGGCACCTGGCTGGTTCAATCAGTAGAGCATGTGACTCTTGATTTCAGGGTTGTGAGTTTGAGCCCCATCTTGGGTGTAGAGATTACTTAAAAATAAAAAATAAAAGATCTTTAAAAAAATTTATAAAAATATTTCATCGTAAGTGAAAAAAGTAATTTTCAAATATATACATCACAATGTACTTTATATAAAATTTTAAAATTTTTTTCAAAATCCTCTTCCTCTTTACTTATTAGTCATATATTCTTTTACTTTTCTTCTTGTGGTTATCCTAGAGATTATACCTTGTATCCTTCACAAAGTAGTAGTCATGTTTTCCTAGAAAATTCAAAGACTTTCAATTTATCACTTATTTATCACCCTTCCTACTTATTTACCATTGTTGTCATATATTCTAATTTTCATTTTTTAATCTCACAAAACATTATTACTGTTGTTTTCTGCAGTCAGTATTGATTTGGTTTACTTACATATTTATCTGGTTTTTCGCTCTTCGTGCCTCTTTACATTTCCTAATTTCCCTGAAATAATTTTCTTTCTGCTTGATGAACATACTTAAATTCTCTTAGTTTTTGTCTGAAAATATATTTATTTTACTTACTTTTTTGATCATTACATTTTCTGGGAATAAAATTCTAGGTTGGGATTTATTTTCTTTTTGCACTTTAAAAGTATTGTTTCATTGTCTTCCAGCCTCCTGGAATTGGATATTCCTTTAAAGACATTTTTTTTCATTTTTTTCTTGCTCTTTGTTCCTGGTGTTTAGTAGTTATACTATGACATGTCTAGGTGTGTGTATGGGAGGGGAGTAGAGGCTTGGTATATTTGATTTTTAGAAAAATGTAAAAATTATCTATTCAAATATCACTGCTGTCCAATTTTCCTTCTCCCCCTTTGTGTTCTCTAGATTCCTTACAGAAAGAAATCTACAAGAAAAAGCAGAACAAAGTATTCATTTTTTTTTTCTTGTTTCATTTAGGATGTTTTTATCTGAGTTGTCTTCCAATTCACTAATTCTCTTTTCAGCTTTGTTTAATCTGTTTTTAGATCTGTTCACTGGGATCTTAATAAAATTATTGCTTTTAAGTTTTAGAATTTTTTTGTTCTTTCTGATAGCTTTATTTGTTTACCAGAGTTCTCCGTCTTCCTTTATTTCTTTGAACATATTAAGCATAATTATTTTAAAGTCTATGTGTGGTAACTCCCTTATATTGATCCTCTCTGTTGTTTTTCTTGGTTTTTTATGTTGTCATATACTTGGATATCTTTGAATGCCAGGCATTTTAAATGAAAACTTGTACAGATACTTTGAGGTCTAAGATGAGGCCATCTTACTCCAGTGAAGATTTGAATTTGTTTCCAAAAGACTTATAAAGGCATCAGCAATATTAGACCACCTTAATCCCTTAAAAGATTGAGAAAATTTCAACTGAGCTTCTATCTTTGTAAGGGCTAATATATTTCCAGTCCTCTCTTTACCCCTAGGGTTTAGGTTTTAATGATCTCAATCTAAAACCTGGGAGTTACATCCTCCTCCTTGGTGAACATGGAACTCCAATTTTGTCTTGTTGGCCTTATGAGTTTACCAGCAGCTTTGTCATCACCTTGTCCAAAACAGCAGATGACTAAGGGGAAGGTAGCCCCAAATTTCTGCCTCACCTCTCAGGGTTTCTTCTCCCTGATCGTGAACTCACAGTTCTTTACTATTGTGTTATCTCTCTGATAATTACAAGCAGATTAAACATATATGTATTTTTTTTTCTCTAGCTTTTCAACTTGTTTAGTGAAAGGATTGGTCCAAATTACAAAGTTTACCTCTAAAATGAACTCCCAAAAGATGCTTTTATCTATTATCTCTATGTATTCCTATATGTAGGAATACATGTAGATGCAACAAAGTTATATAAAAATGAAAATAAGGAAAAGACCAACACAAAATTTAGGACTATGGTTCATTCAGATAAGGGGATACTGAAAGATGGATTGGTTGTAGATGAGGAGAACATTGTTAGATATAGGTTCTTCTCATGCCTCTAGCTTTTGTTTCAAGTGTCAGTTCGAGGGAGCTAGTCACATTATTAAGAACAGCTAATTGAATAAATAAAAAAGGGCCATGCATAGCCCAATGAAGCATGTGTCATGAATTACCATTAATCTTATTCTGTTTACCTCATGTTTAATAAAAAAAAAGAAGAAAATTATGTAGGAAAGGAAATATAGTATATTAGTGTGGCACAGATGAGGGTAATTTAAGTACTGAATAGTGATCTAACTGAAATTATGATGGGCTAAACTTGGGGATTAAAAGCGTATATTTGAGGCCTGGGTGGCTCAGTCAGTTGAGTGTCTGACTCTTGATTTTGGCTCAGGTCATGATCTCAGGGTTGTGGGATTGAGGCCCGCATTGGGCTCTGCACCCAGCATGGTGTCTGCTTGAGATTTTCTTCTCCCTCTGCCCCTCCCTCTGCTCGTGCTCTCCATCTCTCTGTCTTTAAGATAAATAAATAAAATCTTTTTTTTAAAGAAGTGTATTTGTGGGGGCGCCTGGGTGGCTCAGTTGGTTGAGCGACTGCCTTCGGCTCAGGCCATCATCCTGGAGTCCCTGGATCGAGTCCCGCATCGGGCTCCCTGCTCGGCAGGGAGTCTGCTTCTCCCTCTAACCCTCCTCCCTCTCATGCTCTCTCTCTCATTCTCTCTCTCTCAAATAAATAAATAAAATCTTTAAAAAAAAAAAAAAAGAAGTGTATTTGTGTGGAGGAGCAGGAAATAAAAGATAGCTAAATCTTCATCTTCTGTGTTGGGAAATAAATACATAATGCGTAAATTAAAAAGTCACAAAATGATCATATTATTTGGAACTGAGAAAGTAAATAATAATCTGCTGCAAGAGTTCAAAATGGTTGACTAGAGGTGTAGTGGTGAGTTGGGAGTAAGAAATCAAGTTGATATTTATAACATGGTTTTTAGAGCTGTTTGACCCTTTAAACTGTTAATAAAATCTGTAACTTTGGTAAAATTCAAATTTAAAAAAAGTTATCAGAGCTAATTAAAAATATAAGAAACATATAGTAGAAAATAATGGAATACTTGAAGATATTTTGACTAAAACTTACAATATCAGTTGATTTATTATTTCAAACAGTTGGCTTTTACCCAATTCCTTTGCCCTTTTCCACATGGTAAAGGCATGCTGTGCCTGCTTTTAATTTTGAAAGAGGAGAAAGAAGGAGAGAGAAAGAAAAATAAAACCTTTAAAAGTATGTGCTGTTCATCTGCAAGAATTTTTATTAGGTTGATGGCTATATGTGCATAGCCCCAAAATTCTGAAAATAAGTTAAACTTTTATTTGGAAATCACGAGCTGAAAAGACAGCTTAGCTATTATCTTGATTAAAAGGAAAAGCTCCATAAAAATAATTGAAAACATATTATTTGATAAACCAAAAACTAGAAAAATTATTGTCCAAATGATGTGACATTATTAAACACTGTGAAAAATGAGGATTTCTGCAAAACTGCAAAAAAAAAATTAAAAATCCTGTTCTACACTTCTGATGGAAATGTATTTTTGTTCAGGCATGTTTATTAGTTGCCTAGGCTGAATTTTTGGTTCTGTTGTCTGTTAGTCATAGACTGTGTGTTTTGTCTTCTAGTTACTATGTATCAAGCTTGGCACTGAAATACAGCTCTCCAGATCCTAGACCTGAGGATGAGGAGCAGCACAATTCAGAAGCCTTCTTTGGTCACTGATCCTACGTCCAATTTGAAACAAAAGTGATTATAACAAGCAGTACAAATTGAGTTTGCACAGAACTTCAACCTTTCTATACTTAAGTTTTGCCAACTCTAAAATGGGAATAATCATTTTAGCTTACCTGTTAGGGTTGCTCCAAAAAAGAATTAAGGTGATTGATTGTCAAAGACATCACCTAAAAAAAAAAAAAAAAAGGACTATTTAATTGTTAGATAGTATGATAAACACAAAAGTGACATTGGGTTTCATATCGCAATAGTAAGGGGATTGTTTCTGCTTTTCAATGTCTATGTGAGTAGGTATCATTTAAGGAAAAGGAGTGAATCATGTGTATTATATAAATAAGCACATATTTTTTTTTAATTTTATTTATTTGTCAGAGAGAGAGAGCACGAGCAGGGGGAAGGGCAGAGGGAAAGGGAGAAGCAGGTTCCCCACTGAGCAAGGAGCAGGATGATCCCGTGACCCTGGGATCATGACCTGAGCCAAAGGCAAATGCTTAACCAACGAAGCCACCCAGGCGTCCCAAGCACATACATATTTTTAAATCTTGTGATATTTACTAGATATTTATTATCTACTAGCTCTGTGTAAAATACAAAGTATCTGTATGTTTTTGTGTTGATATAGCCACAAAGCCCTAAGTCAGGATTTTAGGTATAGCCAAAGAACCAGCTCATTTAGCTTCCGCCAAAGTAAATGAATATAGAACATATTTTGCCAGTGCCATAAGCAATGAGTTGACAAGCCCCATGACATTTTTTGGTTACATGTTTTAAGTGACCACATTTTGAGTTACAAGGCTAACCAACCTCATGGCCATAAAAAGTTCTAACACTCCCACCCTATTAGATATTGCATTTATATCTAGCTTATTCATTTCTGCCTCCACATTGGGTAACTAGGGAAACAATGATGTCACTGCTCAGCATGGTACTTAGTAACGTCCCTATTTGGGCTCATGGTTTGGGAAGCCTGCAGTTATTTAATAAGTCTCACCTCCACCTCTGTAATAAATTGATACAACTTTTATTTTTCTGAGGGGAAAATAGGGGAAGCAGGATCATTCTGTATAATGTAGTTTGGAAGAAAATATGTATTCTAAAGTGTACTGTTTCTGAAAAATCATCTGTGCATTGGCAGCAAAAGTTTTTTGGTAGACATTGGCAACATTGAGCCAACTGTGTGACCCAAATTAATGTTCCCCCTGGACCACGTTCCTTTGAGCTGTCGTCCTTCCACTGGCCTTCACTTCCATTGGCCACCATCCCTTACCTACCACCTTACT